GGAGAAGAGTAATTTTCTGGAATATTGAACGATGCTCCTATGAACTCGTTCTCTAATCTTTTTTTATAGGTGTGCGAAAAGATGGATGGAGCTATGCTTAGCTGTTTTTGTGCTCTAGCGTGGGTAGCCTGGTATTATCGCAATAAGGTTGTATTTAATGCAGATGGAGTGGCTGACCCTATAAGTGTAGCGATTGGCTTTGTTAAGCTATGTGCTGATTATGTATCCTATACGAAGGTATGCAAGCGTGCCCCTGCTCCCTGCATTGCTGTGTCTAATGCAAGATGGATTCCCCCTACTGCCCTTGCTGTGAAAATTAATGTTGATGCGCATATTTTGGAAGGGATGAGTGCTAACTTTGGGGTGGTGTTTCGAGATACTGCTGGAGGGTTATTGTTGGCTGCAGTCAAGAAGGTTAAGGCGAGGTGGATCCCTGAGTTAGCTGAAGCAGGTTCTGCGACTTATGGTGTTCAGTTGGCGAGAAGGTTTGGATTTGACAATGTGGTACTCGAGAGTGATGCTCTAAGGGTGGTTTCTGCAATTAGAGGAAAGCAACATGGAGACGCTCCTATTTTCTTGTTCTATGAAGATGTGATCCTTGTTAGTTCTCTTTTTAATTCCTTTATTTGTTCGCATGTTAAGCAAAGTAGGAACGTACTTGCTCATAGTGTTGCCCGTTGGGATACTTATAACTCATCAGAGCGTATTTGTATGTCCTTTTTTCCCCAAAGTCTAACAACTTAGGCGGAAATTGATTTATTTAAATAAATTCCCGCTTGCTTGTTTGCAAAAAAAAAAAAAAATAAATAAATAAATAAATTACGTATACGTATACATATATGTATACATATATACTCCCTCTGTTAAATATTATCTGCAACTTTTGCCATTTTTGTCCGATCAGGGTTATGTGCAACTCTCTTTTTTGTTTCCTTTTTTAGCTAAAAAAAACCCATGAAATTACTTTTTTACCCCCACTTTAAAAATTTGATTTTTTTAATCATTGCCCTTATATTTGCTTAATCTGAGTTAGGCTTATAAAATCAAATTAGGCTATTATAATTACTCCCTCCATTTAATCATTGCAACTCCTCAACTTCCCATCCAACATCAATTAATGTGGCTGGTTTTTTTTTTTGATATGATGAGTTCTTTGAACCTAGTTCTTCATCTTCCTGTTCGTCCTTCTCTCTCCTCTTCTTCCTTCATCTTCCCCCAACTCACTCAGATCCGCTATTACTTACTCAGACCTTTTAAAATCCGAGTCCCTTTTCACCATGATTAACATGGATCCACTTCGAGATGCTTACATAGCAACCAACGACAAGGGCGAGGAGAATTTGATTATCGCCATAATCAAAGACATTGAGGATGGAGCTTCCTTCCCTCGTGAATTTTATGAATCTGATGAGGCCCTTCACTACTGTTGCCAAGAAACCTACGACGCTTTGGGGAAAGTTCTTCAGAGCGTGGATGAGGAAGCACGCAAGGAGAAGGTTGAGGGGGAGGCTGAGTCTATGGGGGAGAAGATGGTTAAAATCGATGTTGTGGTTTCAGATCTACCCTCTGACAGCGGCGATTGCAGTGCTGTGGCCACCCTAACCCCCAAAACTAAGAGGGCTAGGGCCCCACCAAAGATCCGGGCAACCAAGAAGGTGGCGAGGGTTGCCCTGAGGCGAATCCGTGGCTTGCCTGATGAGGACTGGGTAATTTTGTCCTCAGATGACAAGGCTGACAAGGTGGGTTGTTTCTCAACTACTGCACAGAACCCTCCTTCTAGTGTCCCTGCTGTCGTTGATGAAGAAGAGAGACGGCTGAACCCTAGGGTTCAACCCTCCAACTGACTACTTGCATAACGCTTCCTAACCCTAACCCTAAATTGTGCATTTTTAACTTTGAGTCCCATGGTCTTTGTTGTGTGTTATGTTCACTACGAGTCCCATAATTAGTGGTTGGCTGGTGGATTTGGTTATTTTTTTTCATGAATTTTGGTTTTAATTTTTGTTAGTTTTGGATCTGTGTATAATGGGTTTGTTGGTTTCGTTGGTTGTTGTTGGTTGGTATTGTTGGTTTATCTTGTTTGGTTTATGTTGGTTGGTGGTGTTGTTTCCTGGTTTTTGTTGGATGATGGTGGTTGGTGGTGTACCATGGTGGCTGTTGTGGTTGCTGGTGGTTTTTTTTTTTGGGTTGTTGCTGTTGGTAGGCTTGTAATTTTTGTTGGTTGCTGGTGTTGTTGATTTATGTTGCCTGCTGTTATTGCTGGTTGGCTTATGTTTTTTTATGTTGTTGATGATTGGTTTGTTTATGTTGATGCTGTTGTTTAATGGTTTATGCTGGTTGGTGGTGTTGTTTCCTGGTATTTGTTGGATGATGGTGGTTGGTGGTGTACAATGGTGGCTGTTGTGGTTGCTGGTGGTTTTTGTTTATGGTTTGTTGCTGTTGGTAGGCTTGTAATTTATGTTGGTTGCTGGTGTTGTTGATTTATGTTGCCTGCTGTTGTTGTTGGCTGGTTTATGTTTTATGATGCTGTTGATGATTGGTTTGTTTATGTTGGTGCTATTGTTTAGTGGTTTATGTTGGTTGCTCCTGCTGTGTCCTGGTTTTAGGTAGATGCTTGTGTTGTTACCTGGTTTCATATTGGTTGTTTCAGTTGAACTAATTGTAGTTGGCATGTAGACTAAGGTACTTGATTAGGGGGATATGATTGATGAATGATGAGACTACTGTGTAGGGTTTCATAGTGACCCGACACTACGCGAAAGGAAACCCACCAAGACCCGCCCCTTAATTAAAGCAATTAAACAAGCATAATAAACTTAATCAAACAAGGTTAAGGACAAGAATTATACCTTTGACGCGTGCTTCGCTCCCAAAGAACTCTTACTTCAAAATCCCGAAAAGACGAGATCTCCGACGGATCGTACCCTCGACCCGACCCGAGCGTCCTAAGTCTTGAAGGTTAGTCAAGACTCGGACAAAATAACTATGAGTTTTACGAATCAAAGGTTTACTCTTTTCTTAGAGTTGCCTTTTTAATTCCACTAAAGGTTGTCTCAAATCCCAATACCAAGCTTGGTATTTATAGGGAAATGATCCCTTGATTTTTCATCCTCCACCAATGTGGGAGAATGTATTTTTGCTAATTAATTTATTTCTAAAATAAATTATTAAACAAAACTAATCACAATGCAACAAGTGTCAAATAGAGAGAGAAGGTTAGGTGAGGACCATGAATGGGTGGGGGGGGACCATTGCCTTGCTCCTCAAGGCCTTGCCCAAGCTTGGTCCCCACCCTTCACCTAAACCGCCACTTCATGGAGTGCTGGGTTGTTTCTAGCTAGCATGGTGCTGGCCAGCGCAGCCAGCTAGCATGGCGCTGCCCAACAGCCTCGCATGCCTGGTGCTAGGCCATGCTAGGCGCTGGTGCTGGCCAGTGCTAGGCGCTGCTGCTGCTGGCTGCCTAGCACTGCCTATCGTACATGCATCTCTCTCTCTCGCATCGCTAGCACAACATCCATCGCCCAGCTAGCACTTGCTGGGCATCGCTGGCGCTGGCCTCGCATTCTACGCACTGGCTGGTCGCACATGCATCACGCACTAGCCATGCGCCACGCACCTACGCACACACATTGCAAGCCCACACGCATCATGCACACACTCGCACTGGCCAGTGCCTAGCACTGCTTGTGCTTAGGTGCGAGGCATGCACACACGCACAAGCACATGCATGCGTGGTGCTGCTGCCTAGCAACCCAGCCAGCCATTGCACGCACACGCACCAGCCCACACGCATCAGTGCGGCTGCTGTGCGAGGCTGCGAGGCACACACGCATGCCCTTGGCGATGCGACTTTGCTTGTGCGTGGCGCCATGCCTTGCGATGGTGCCTAGCAAGGGCTGTGCGCTGCGATAGGGCACCATATGCACCCAAGCACCACGCTAGCATGCTGCTAGCTACTATGGGCTGCCTGGTGCCTGTGTGGCTTGCGATAGCTGCCATGCGCACCTAGGCACCCATGCTAGCATGCTGCTAGCTTGCGATGGGCTGCCAGGGTGCGCCTAGGCTGCGATGGTGCCTAGCACACCATGGTGCGCCTAGCACACACATGGCGCGCCTAGGCTTGCTATGAGCTAGCCTAGCCTAGCTACAGCTACGCTCATACTTGTTGCTTGTGATTTTGCGACGCTCGGTATCGACGTCCTAGGCTCGATTTCCGACGTCTGTATTCGTAAAACTCTGTCGACTCATTAAATCCTTTCAGATTAATTCGACGTCTCGGATCAGAGATTCGATTGGGTTCGACCCGAAGGGTTCAGTTAAGATTAAGCTGTAATATCAATTGTACCTCGATATTATTGATCGGAAGCGGCCTCCACCTAGGCATTCCGATCACTTGACCTTACTGAAGAATTAGCTCTGTAATAATTCTGAACCCTCTATCGGAATAATACACTTGTTGGAAGGACATCATTCCTTTCAATCTCCCACTTGTCCTTCCGGACAAGTGTGCATATTGTGTATAGCTCATTTCCTTTGTCGCTTAATGTTTCTTCGTGAACTATAAGGTAAGATTCTTTGTCATCCTTATTACGTTCAGAAGTGTTTCTCGATCTTCGAGTTCGACTGTCAATAAGCAGATGATTTCTAAAATCCATCTGAGCATGGCCATGCATTTTACAGTCTCACTCTTCGAGGGGCCTTTTAAACAACAAAACATTTTCCCTATTGTTAGTAGGGGGACAATCCCAGTCTTGTATTGTAAGTTCTTCTTACTAAGAGGACATAGACTCCCGAGTGTTCCTGTTATGATCCCTAGTTACGGCAGACGTCACCCATAAACGATTTTTATATGGTCACCAATAACATCTCTATTCACATTCTGGAGTGCCTTGGTGACCAAAGTGCCTGCTGCTCTGTTTTTGCTTGATTTCTTTGCCACCTCTTTCACAGTAAATGGGAATATCCCATACTTCCCATCATGAATGAGTCCCCCATGTATGTCATACAATGGCTTCCCAATTACAGCCATAAACATAGTTTAACTTGAATCTTTTTTCCTGTTGTGCCATGTATGGGTCTTCTTCACCTGGAAGAAGATAAAATCTTCTCTTGTCAGGATTAAGATAGAACCATTTCTCATCTATGTGTATAACATGGTTCATACTAACAAAAGTGGGGTCCTCATTTGCTGTGATTGGATTTATATGTGACAGCACCCATTTCATTCTAGCAATCTTGTGGTCTGGTGTGAGTGCAGGCTTGGTACTGTATGTATGTGTTCTTAGCCTTCCCTTTTTCTTTAGGTTGTGTAGAGTAACATGAGAAATCTTCAGGGTAGCAGCATAACTTCTCTCTGTCTGCCTAAGATAAAGTGGGACTGATTGTAGGAATGCGTCTGAAAATTCCCTTGGCTTAGGACCTGTCCTGCCATACTTCTTAGTCCTGACATCAATTGTATTCCCTATTGCCATCTGTTTTTTAATGTCAGCAAAAACTCTTGTGATTGTTGACTTGTGTACACTGAATTGAATTGATAATTCTTTCATGAGTCCCTTAGGTAACATGCCATTTTGCATTGTGACAAGCATTGCATCTACAATCTGCCTTTTTTTTTTTTGCAATGTAAGCTGCTTTCTACTGGCAGCTGGAGTCCCTCCCTCTGCCCAATTTACAGTGTTCTGGTTTGCTTCATTATCACCTGTGCCCTGCTGCTCCATGTCCGTTTCCTGTTCTTCTTGCATATTTTCATTATCTGATTCATAATGCTCGAAATCTTGATCTTGCATTTCTTCATGCTCATCGTAGTAAAGTTCTGCCAGTGCTTCCTTTGATATTAATTGGTCAACATCTAAAAACTCTTCTTCATGAGAATCTTCCATTTTTTTGGTTTGTTTGTGTTTGTTCAGATTTTAGAAGGGTCAAAAGGGCTGGCTACTGTTTTTTTTTTGGGTGAAGAAGCTGCCCTTTTTGCATATGAAGACAGTGGGGTGTGATTCTAACAAAGATGAAGGTTGTGCAGCACTAATTGTAGATTAGTGTAATTTTTTGCAAACATTTCAGATTAGGAACTAATGGAAATTGTGGTAATCATTGGCTGTTTTTTTGAGAAACATTTGTAACTATGAATTTATTGCAAGCTTTGTAATGGGGGCTAGTTTTATAGTCCTCTTAAATGAAAAGGGGGAGCTGAAAAAGCCCCTTTTATGCTTTAAATTTTGGCTGAAAATTCAAAAATTTCAGATTTCAAATTTTGGTCTTTTTTGGTGGAAAAATGGGAGGGAAAGTGGAACTCCCTCCACTTTCGGATTTCCCACCAGAAATTAAGTGGAGGGGACCAGCACTTTCTCTCTCCTTCTTTCCTTTAATTACATACCCCCACTTCCTCTAATCAAGGCCCTCCAAAAAATGCATTGGCAACCGCGAATTGTACTGCGGTTGCACATAATATTTAACGGAGGGAGTATATTATTAAATTACGGATTATTATATCTACGGTATAATTATACGTATTATACTAGTATTTTCGTAGAGGGAGATTTGGGGATGTTTTCCTTCATAAATGTTGCCAATAACTAAAGTAGTGACTAGTGACATAAGGCCAAATCAAAAAAGATCCCCAGACATGGCTAGTTATGGTGCGTGCATTAACCATCCTAGTACAATTAAAAAGTGTTAAATGTTTACAAAAAGGGAAAATAAAAAGTACATAAGGCGGATCGTGCTTTAGTGGGATTTGGGTTGCTAGATGGTTGAGCTTGATGTGTTAGCCCATGGGTCAAAACTAGGTTCTACTAGGCCTAAAAAGGGGCAGGGAAAAGGTTCCTACTTGCTTTAAATCTTGTTGTTGTTTAAATTCTTAATACTAGTGCTTGCAGATCTCAAAGTGCCCCGTTAAGACCTTCCAATCAAATACACTTGTCATCGGACCCACTTATGAAAGCTTTTACTTGATCGACCTTCACAAGCCCCGACTGACCCTTGCTCTTACTTTGTTGCCAATAGACAAGAGTGCTTCTAAGACGCCTACTTACTTGTGTTGCTCCTTGCTATCATACACTTGAATACTTGGCTTGCACCTTCGTCACCCATAAACGAGCGTGCGCCGCACGGACCAGGCATCAAAATATTCGGACCGTGACAATTGGTATCAAAGGTCCCACATCACAAATTACTAGGCCTTGGCCCGGCACACGACCTAGCCCTAACAATACCGGGCCGGGCTGTCTTTAGCAAGGGCCGAGCATTATATAGGTTGAGTAGCCCATTGCCATCTTTTTTTGTGTGTAAAAACAATATTAACAAATAACGACCCTTTGGCTATCTAGACCAGCCATCAAGCCCTTTTGCGACATCAACTAGCTAGCCTCCAAGCCCAAAATATCTAAAAGATGCACATCAGCCAGCTCCCATGCCAAAAAATTAAGGACCCACAAATCTTAATAATAAAAAAAAAAATCCAAATCCAAACCAAAGTTAATGCGAAGAACAGGGTAGGTGGGTATTAAACTCACAATATGTTCTAAATTACTACTTGTACAATATTGATGACAATTTATTTACTGTTCTTCACCGAACAAAAATCATTTATCAATTATCATACGAACCTCCCCAATCTTCCAATAATTGGGTTTTTTGGGGTTAATTCTTCTTCTTCTTCAATCATCGTAGATTTCAAATAAATCTGGGTTAAATTTTATAGTTTGAGATTGTTATAATTATATCAATGGCTTTGGATTTTGAATCATTAACAGAGGCGACTTCTGGAGCCATTGGAGCTCTTGTTAGCACCACCGTCTTGTACCCTTTAGATACTTGTAAAACTAAGTATCAAGCTGAAGCTCGTTCTCATCATCAGCAAAGATACAGGTTTATAATTTTCTCTCTCTTTGATGGGCCCCACTTTTTTTTTTTTTTTTTTAATTTTTAATTTTGATGGATTTTGATTTTATGGGAGTTCTTGAGATGATGTTGAAATTTATTTATTAATTTTATGTTAAACCTTTGATTTTTGACTCTCTGGTCTTAATAATTGTGTTTTTTTGTGTGATTAAGAATCAGGCATGTATGTGTATAAAATTTATTATTTACAAGTATTGAATTTGGGCATTTAATATTGGTTTGATTTTTGCTGTTTTGCTCATATTTGTTCTGATTGAAGATATAAAACTTGCATAAGTTGTATTGTTAGTGTATATAACTGTTCAGGTTTTTGTGTCGTTTTGGAGATCTGGGCTTTTACGAAATATTTCTTTTACGAAGTATTATAGATCATGTTCATATGTAGAAAAGTTCTACCTTTGTTTGAAAAGGTAGATTCATTAGAATAATTTGAAAATTTTAATCACATGTGATTGCATGTTTCTTTTTCATGATTATTTTATTAAATTTCATGAAAAGTTGAGAATGAGCAACTAGATGAAGTGGAGTTTTAGAATAGTGCTCTAGTTTGCTGATTGGTATAATGCATTGCTTATGGTCTAAATTTCCCTTTCAATTCAATTTCAATGCAATCGAGGTCAATAAGGTTAGTGGTCTGTGGAGTGACAGTCACACAAGGTTAGTAAGTCGAGATTTGAAAGGAGCTAATGGTTTTAGGAAGTGTTTATGGGGCTGCTGTATTGTGATGATGTCGGGAAACCGGAAGGATTTAACTAGCATTACATTATGATTTCTTCATTTGTCGTGGTGATTCTTGAACTGGTCAAAGGTTTCAAAGTCCTTGCAATATTCAATGTTCTTAGGGTTTTTTTTCTTTTTTTTTTTATAAATTGTATTTGTCTGCTTGTTTCAAATGTATCATTGCCCCAAAATTATAAGCTGTCAAATTTTATGTGTGATGTATATGCTTTAGTTTATTTTGAGAATATTCCATTTGTTAATTATTAGCCATTGACAAACTAGTATGCATTGCTTATCATAGTCTTTTTAATTTTTTAGATGTTGACTATTCCATACCTCTTAATTCTTCAACTCCAACCACCTCATCTTGCTGACTTACCAGCACTAGCAACTTCTTCTCTCCACCTTTCTTTGCACTTACCTAAATTTGATTGCTGTTTGTAGGTATAAGATGTTGTCTTGGTAAACAAACTAGATAGGGTTGGATGTTATGGGAGACATAGAGAGGAGGTATAGAGAAAAGGGGCATGCAAGATGATAAAAGTAGAGGACATTTTCTTGCGATAATGCTGCTGTGACCCTGGACAACATATGGGAGGGCTTGGGATGTTATAGACTCTTGAGTCAAGTGAGCCTTGATAATTTGAGAAAGGTTTGATTGTCCTTGAGTAAAAATTTGTTTGGTTTAACTTCTGTTATGGCATGACCCAAGCTATAAAATAATAATAAAAGAATATTCCCAAAAAAAAAAAGAAAACTTTTCAAATACTGAGCACTACCAAATTTTAATTATTGAAAAACATTGTAACTTTAGAAAACAGGATGATGAATGATAACTACGTCTTAAACTTTGGGAGTTTGGAGCTATGAGTATGAGCAATAGTCTGAAAAGAAAAATGAGAATGATTGAGGATTTTGGTGTTGATTCGTGGATCTTTGGAAGAGCTTAAGGTGGTGGGGATGTCAATTTGATTGCTCTAATGTTGCTAACAAAACTTCAATTCTTATTTTGGTAAGGGGAGTTGGATGTGGACAACGTTACTCTTGTAACCGCAAACACAATGGCTCATTGGCTACATGCTCAATGCAATTATTGCATATCAATGAGCCATTTTGATTTGTATTACTCAAAATTATTGAAAGGTTTTTATAGTTCTTCGATGATTTGATCTAAAAAGTTCTAACTTTGAGTAAGAGACTAAAAGGTTAATAATGTTCATGAGATCAAGAGGAGTGTTTAGACCTGTAGTCTATGTTACATGGACCCTTCATTTCACCTTTACCCATGTCGGACTCTCGACACTCGGGCATAGGTATAACACTTGGACACTTTACTTTTGGTTCAAACCATGGATTTTTTTTACAAAATAGTCGAGTCGGACGCTTGGATACATACCCATGTCGGACATGGGTACCCGAGTCCATGTAACAGGGCCTGTAGTTATGCTTCGCTAGACTTTTCAAGGCTGTGTAAAGTAAGTGTAAAGATTCCACTTTTTGTACGTCTCAAAATAGTATAACATTTCTCTTTCGAGTAATTTTTTGCATCTTTTGCTTGTGCTCACACTAGTTTATGGTGTGTCACCACTTTATTCCCTTTATTTTATCAAGAGTGCTAAATGAAATTGTTGCATTTATTTTGTGCGAGAGATAGCAATTATAGATTTCTACCTAGTCAAGAAAAAATTAAAGACTACGTGCAAAAAGTTCGAGTTATGGGATGGAGAAGAAAGAGGATGAAATTAAAGAAAGGTGTTAGATTGAATAAGGTTCAGGATGAAATGAAGAAAGGTGTTAGATCGAATAAGGTTCCGGATGATATTAAAGAAAGGTGTTAGAACGAATAAAGTTCCTATTGATGTGTGAAAATGTCTTAGGCTGATGTTGAACAGTCATACCTCTTCAACAAGTTATGAAAAATCAACAAAAAGGCCGAAAACTGGAGGAAGTGAACTCTAGTGCTAATTTCAAAATCAAAGGTGATGTCCAATATTTTTGAACAATTGAGAAGAGATAGAATCCACGGTATGGTACCAGTTATTGAGGATAAAATGAATGATAATTGAATGTGGTGTTTTATCAATATTGTACTCCCTCCATTTCATAATAATCGCAACACTTTCTTTTTTCATCCGTTTCATAATAATCGCAACACTTCCTTATTTGGTAAGGACTCACTAATATTTTATTATTTCTTTCTCCTACCAACCCCACACCCACTACTTTTTTTATTATTTCTCTTTCTTATTTATAATTAAATATATATCCACTAACTATATTTTATATTATTTCCTCAAAAAAAAACTATATTAATATTATAAAATTCATTTTTTGGACCCTACCCTATGATTTTTCTAAAACTTTGTGCCCACACTACTTTTGTGATTATTAAGAAATGGAGGGAGTATGTAACATGAAAAGCATACTGTAGAAATTAAAAGTTAGGACGATGAAGATATTGAAAGAGTAAAGTTACACCTAGGATGACCCGGATGGAATGGGGTAATTAAAAGCAATGAAAAAGTTAGGTCTTTGAGATCATATTGCATTGGAGTATTGGACAAAATTGGGTGGAGAAGAAGGATTCAAGCTATTGACTCATGGATCTTAACTTTTTTAGCCAACTTCATCATTTTCAGATTTACACTGTTTGGATAGAAAGAAATGGAAGGAAAAGAAGAGAACAGAAAGGGAGGGGGACAAATTCTCTTATTTGGGTAAAGGATTGGGGGAAGGAAGGGGAAGGAGAGGGATGGATCCATTTTCTCTCTCTCTTTAATAAGCATAATCCCTCCACCAAACTTAGAGAGATTTGGAGGGAAAATGAAGCTCACCTCCCCCTCCCTTTCTTTTCCCTTCCCTTCCTCCTTTCCCCCTCCCCTTCCTTTCCTTCCTTCTTTGCTATCCAAACAAAGCGTAAGGCTTTGTATTAGAGTGTTATAGTTACTTAGTGATTATGAATTAAATTTTAGCTTATAAAAGTTGTAAAAAGACATGTAGCTATGTAAAGACCTTGTTTTTATTTAACATATCAGTAGAAGCCAGGGTTTAATTTGGTAGTGAAAGCAGGAGTAATAGGAGTATAAACTTTTTATACTACTGAACAGAATCGTTCTGCCAGCTCAAAACTTAGAAATCACCTACTAGGCTACTACTGAAAGACATACCATTTTTACAAGCGTAGCAGTGGTAGTGTTGGTATTAAGAACAGTACCAGTGGTACTAGCAAGAGTAGGAGTGGTAGTGGTGTTGATATTGGTGGTATTATTATGGTAGTTACTTTAGCAGTGGCCATAGCAGTATAAAATGAGATATAAGGTGTATTGTGCTCGGTCAAATTTGTATCTGTACCTTTACGAACTCAATTTGCCCTTTGACCATTGACAGGCTTGGAAATCCAGAATATTGAATTCTGCAGATTGACCCCCCCCCCCCCCCAACCCCTTCATTTTGTGTGGCTTAGTTAAGAAAATTATCTCTCTTTGAACTTTTTGAACAATGTTTGACCTTTCTTGAAACATTTTTATCATGCATTTTATTCTGCAACTTGCTCAAACAAGCACCACAATATATATCCTTTTGCAAGACCTTTACAGGATTAATTGTTGTCCTATTGCATTCTGAAAATAAGTTCATTACATTGCCTTTTGATGCTGGCAGTCTTTTGTATTTCTGGCTAACATCATCTCAATTAAAGCTCCTGTTACAATTTTCTTTATTAAAAAAAAAAAAGAGGACCATAATGGCCCATTTCTCCTTTGCTTATATTATGCTGCCCTCCAAAAATTTACGCATGTTGTTGTATTTTGCAGGCACCTTTCTGATGTATTATGGGAAGCTATTCGTAATGGTCAAGTTCTTTCATTATATCAGGGTTTAGGGACAAAGAACTTCCAATCTGTTATACAACAGTTTATTTATTTTTATGGGTACAGCTTTTTAAAGAGGCTTTACCTGAAGAAAAGTAATTTCAAGTCTATGGGCACAAAAGCAAATTTGATTGTTGCTGCTGCCGCTGGGGCTTTAACTGTCGTCATTACACAGGTTGTTAGTTGCTCTTATATCTCTTGTTAATACTAACTCTGAATATTTCAGGGATATATCTCGGTTACATGTTGTAAGCTGCCAACTAATTGAGTTTCACACACTTGGAAATCCTGACTGAAGCTCTTTATTTTTGTTTTTTCGTGAAAATAACTTTAATGACATGTCTTTCTATTAGTAAATTATCAACTTCTTGCTGTATTTTTTTTTTTTTTTCATTTGGTTGTGTGTGTTTGTGTGTGTGTGATTTCAACTTTAGAAAATTGAAAAGAAGCAAAAGTTCCGTGTAAGATGGAGATAAAAATAAGGCTCTTGAGATGGAGAGATGTAAAGGGGGAAATATTACTTCTGTTTCAAAAAGATTTCCTTTACTTTGATTAGCACGCTTGCCATGTACAACTTAGATTATAAATATTTTTAATTATCAAATAAAAATCTATATTATGAAATGTACAATGAAGTTAACTCAACATTTTTACTTGATCTGAAGTAATTGCTTTCAATATATTCATAAAATCTTTGTGGAACAACTTAGTAGATGTATTTTAATCATTGACTTTGACTTATAATGTAAGATGCATTTTAATTAGATACGATAAATACCTAGTGTGAAGTTCTTGGCACAATAAGTTTCAATTATGTTTTACCATGGGCAGTGTGTCTGTATTTCTTAAGTAAATGAAGTGTTAATTTGAAGCTTGCTAGGAATATAGTCTCATCTCTCATGCCCATGCTGTACTTTGAGTTGACAGCCTTTGGATACGGCATCATCCAAGATGCAAACTAGCGAGTTTGGAAAGGCAAAAGGGTTCTGGAAGACCCTTACTGAAGGGAATTGGAGTGGTGCTTTTGATGGCCTTGGCATCTCTCTCCTATTGACTGCGAATCCATCTATTCAGGTGTGTAATTCCAACTCCTGGTTTGATGCTTGTTATCTTGCAGATGTTTAGTTTGGCAGGCATATATTTCTAATCGACTGCTAATAGAGCTGATTTCTTCTGTATTGACAGTACACTGTTTTTGACCAGCTCAAAAACAAACTCCTGATAACCAAAAACAAAAATTCTGACTCATCCCCACACGCTCTCTCTGCTTCTACTGCCTTTTTGTTGGGGGCTCTCTCCAAGACTATTGCCACCTGCTTGACTTATCCGGCTATTAGGTTGGTATATTCTTTGTTTCCCCTCTTTCTTGGTTGCTACATTAACATATACAAGAATACTTTCCTTTTATAAAAGTAAGCATATAGTCATGATTGTTGTAATTTGGATTAAAAATTAATTTGATGTGATACATTAATCTTGTGCAGGTGTAAGGTTGTGATTCAGGCAGCGGAGATAGAGGAAGAAAAGCTTCCATATGCACAAAAGAAAGCCAGTAAAACTATCTCAAGAATATTCTGTAACATCTGGAAAAATGAAGGAATTCTTGGGTTTTACAAGGGTTTACATGCCCAAATTTTGAAGACTGTTTTGAGCTCTGCCCTGCTTCTGATGATTAAGGAGAAGATCACAAAGACTACTTGGGTCATGATGCTTGCTCTGAAAAGATACCTATTGACAACTAATGCGAAATTGAAAAGTACTTGAGTTCTATTGTGCAATCAGTAAAATTATTTCGGGTGGAATTATTGTGTATATAACGAAGTCTTCTCTAGGCTGTGAGGCTTAGAAGGATTTGTCAATAATGCAGAAGAGATCAGTGGACGGCGAATGCCCCCTCTACAGGTCCTAAACTCAATACTAGCAGCATGATTTGTTTGTTTATCCTTGTAATATTTATGAATGTGATTCTTTGTAGCCCTAAGGTCAAAATATGTAGGAATGATTTGAAACTATGTGACTATTGCACTCTCCTTTTTGGCCCTATGAAACAGCTTGTTATTGCTTGCAGTTTGAACGTTTATTTTATGGAAAGTTTGATCAAGTACATTCACTGATCCAGATATAAAAGTCCTGGAATTTATTTTAGCGTTGGCGTAATAGCAATAACTGGTAGCTTATTCAATGCTAGGGTAAGTAATTTTATTGAGTTGATTTGAACATTTGATTGGTAAGCAGGGTTGTTTGAGCCGTTAGCTACTTGTTACATTGTAGTTGATTTTCTAACTGATTTGGACTCTTTTTTTCAATTACGAAGTACATATATCTGTTTATTGGGAGCCACAAAGAACATAGATGCAAATATAATTCCATACGACTTTGGGTATCATCCCTAAGACTGTCCAGCTAAAGTAATTGACTGCCAATTTGAATTATCAATCTTGCCAATTTATTTAACTAGCTGCCATGTGTTACTTTTGTAACAAAAATACTATATTACTATTACAATAGTTGCTTGCATATGTTTTTAACTGCATATAAGAAATAAATAAACTTGAGCTGTGACATTTTTGTGAACATGTAAGCTCAAACTTCCCAAGTTCATGTCTATTAGTGACTTCAAAGGTGCAAGACCAACCACCAAACCTAATAATCTTAAGGTGTGAGTTACTTATGAACAATTACCCTGGCTCAAAGTTCTTAATCTCTCACCAAAATATAGTTTAGCTAATTACAAAACTTAGCATCTATAGTTACGACAGAAAACATTTACACGACCATATCCCAGGGATATATGCTTATGTAGTCGGGGGAATGTTAAGACCATTCAACCTAGCTCAAGGTATCGATATCCATGGATGTGGGAGTAAATGTTTGCCACTAGACAGTAATGAAAAAAGAAAGAAAGAAGCTTTAACAAAATTCTGTTCTTCATTACTGAAAGGTCTTCAAATAACATGAGGTAACATTTGAATTTTTCAACAAATGACAGAACTGTTTCAAGAGAGGATTTAAAAATAAAATGAATGATAAAAAGGTATAACCATCCGATTTAACTTGCAACAAAAAGAAACAACCCACCAAAAACACAATCATGTAGAAAAGGTGACTGGGTCTAGAAATGAAACCGGCAACCTTGTAAGTTTCAAAGCTGCCTTCTGAAGAATTAGTGGTAAGAACAACAACAATCCAATTACCCTCCGAAGCAATACCAGCTCCTGTATACTTGGTATCGTTTAAGCTACCTGAATACTGGGACTTTGTAAAATTCCAAAGCACGAGGGTTGGATCCAAGTTTGGTACACAAGCAGGCATTATCATGCCATCGGCGGTGTTGCTGATATTTAAATGGCAATGGGCTAGAAAGTCTGGGTAGTTGGGAAACTGGTTCTCAGTGCCTGGTACAGTGTTGGACCCTGTGCTGTTTGTACAGGGTTGATCCTTGAATTGGTCAGCCATTTGTTCAGCAAGACATTCTGCATTGTCATTCTTTGTGAAGGCTGTTAAGTTCAACGATGTTCGATACTTGTTGATGCCTTGGAGAAGACTGTCTTCCTCATCTGAAGTAAAGAAGATCATTAGCCAACAGAAAGCATATACACATCATTATCAGAATGCAGACCATGTTGTTGAGCAATAGTACAACTACTTTATCGAATTTGAAAATGGCGCAGATAACAATACTAATTGAGCAAGAATATCTTTAAGCTTTGTTTGGCTGTTTGAACATAAATATCAACAAGCAATCATGAATTTGAAGTCGCACAATTTATGCAATTAAACCCAAAAAAGGTGACTCAGGCTGAAAATGTAGGTTTATATACCAGTAAGACAATCCAAGCGCATACACACTCAGCTCTGTTAGAATGTACGCCACCAGGCTCACCACACTGGATAGAATGCTTTTGATTGCTGAAATTTTTGCTTAATATAAAACCATAGGAGCAGATGTGTAAATCTGAATACTCTTAGTGAGGCTGGACTATATGTTGTACTAAATCGACTTAGTATCTACCGCCAGTCCACCACAATGGTGTTTCGTTTGAGTCAGGAGTGAATGCAATTTTTACACAAGTTTTTCCACCAGGTTGCATTCGCGCTACACAATCATGGTTATGAGCTACTAACAAAACCCAGGGCAGCTTCTATATGCCAAGCTTTCCACATATTCTTTGTAGAGTTAGTACAAATGCCAATTTAGATAAGGCTATTCCATCCAACTCCAGAAATGTAAACTCTTGTAAAAGACTAAATTTTACAGATGATTCAACCATATCTTCCCAAAACTCAACAAATGTAACCCCTACATAGCTAATCCTAGTTTCATCATACAGGCATACACCAATGTGAAGAAAGACTCAGTCATTCACAAATATGCCCTATTGTGCGCCGCTCCTGATATCAAATCAGGATACTGATGCACTCTCCCCTGGCGTTTAATGGGAATCTCTGAAACAAACTCTAATACTATACATTTTTAATACTACATACATTTTTCAAAACAATGGATTTTTAATTTTTTTCACTAGTAATGACTAATGATTACCCATTTTGTAACACCTTCTAGTCTTATTAAATCAAAAACTTTAGGATATATAAATACATTTAGCAAAGCGCAATTCTACAAATTCATTATAATTAACCCAGAAAAAATCTCACTAGTCCCACCACCACACAACCACCTAATTCATTAACTTTCTACCTTTTTCAGCCGCCATCCATCCACCAAACCACTCACCACACCTCTCCCACCATTCGCCGCCCTACGCTAGCCCTCCCCCACCCCTGCCGGCCCAGCGCAGCTCATCCCTTCCCCAAAAAACCTCTCTTAGCCCAGAAAAACCCTATAATTTAGTCTCACTCCCCGTAAAACCCATCAGCCAGCCCTCCCCTACCCTCGAAACCCTAGCGCCTAGGGTTTTGATGGTGGGGGAGGGTTGGTCGGCCGTTTTACAATGAGGGAGATGGGTTTTTTTTTTTTTAGGTTTTTTAGGTTTTTTGATGGTGGGTTTTGAGAGTGAAGATGACCGACGAAAAAAAGGAGAGGTGCGATGAAGGGTGGGGGAGAGGCGGCCGACAAATCTAAGTGGAGGGGGAGAGTTATGCATGGGTGAGGGAATAATTTTCGAGTGAGAGGAGGGGCGACGAGGTTCCAATGAGGGGCGGCGACGTTCCGGCGAGAAGTGGGTAAGGGTGGCTGATGTGGGTATGGTGGTGGTTGGGGAAAGGGAATGGGAAAGGCTAGGGGGGTGGGGAATGGGAGTAGAAGGGTTTTGGGTAATCAAAGGGGAAAGGGAATGATAGAAATGGAAAAAAAGAAAACAACAACAAAGGAAATGATTCCCATGGAATCCCATTCCCTTTGATTATTACTGCGAACCAAATGACCCCTTAAATTAATGGTGCCACGTGGCACTTTTCAAAGTATATATGCTTTGAGCTAGATTCGAACCCGTAACCTCCAACACATAAAGGTTACATATTTACCATCTCAATTAACTTTGATTAATGTTTTAAATTTCACATAATTAACATTATACGTTCCTTTCATTTATGAAGTAAATTAGAGGTTATATATATATATATATATATATATATATATATATATATTATTTATTTTTCACAACATTAGAAATAAAATTAAATAAATAAAACAGTAACAAACAACGCCTGAACCACACACTAAATATACAAACAATCAAACATAATTATCAACCCAGGGCATCGCTCGGGCCATACACTAGTTACTAATCTATACATATATGCTAAAGTAATCACCAGGATTATCCCTATAGTACACGTGTCGCATCCACATTAAAAAATTTCCCGCTAAAAACCTTTTTTTTCCTTAAAAAATAAAAGATAATTGATAAAAAAAAATGTATACAGCCTAAATAATAGAACAATAAGAACTTTAAATAAATAAAACGTTAAATGTATACAAAATCTAGAACAAATAAAAGTTATAGTAATATATAAATATATTTTTTTCTGTGAATATCCGAGCGTTGCTCGGAAAAAGAACTAGTTTTTACTGATTAAAGCTTATTTTATTGAAATTAACTTATTTTTAATGAATTAACTTATTTTTACTGAATTCACTTATTTATACTTTCTATTTGAAGCGAACAGGGACTTGTTTTCTAATCCACGAGATATAGGAAAAATACAAAGTAATTGGAATTAATAATTTCTAGATTTAAGCCCTTGGGAAGCACGATTTTTTAAAAAATAAATTTCACGAAAAGATCATTTTTGTATAAAACTTGGATTAAAATATTTAATGTAATTTGTAATGCGAACTTAAATTTTTTTTAAAATAATTTAAATCCTAAGAATAAAATTTATTTTTCATTGGTCAAAATAATGCATTTGTATGTTTTATACTAATTTAACATTTAATATTCAGCCGTAATAACAAATATTAATACGAGATAACCTTTTTTTTATTTTTTTAACAAAAAAATTTATTATAATCACTTCTCATATTTCATTATTTTCTTTATCTAATCCTTTTTTTTATTTATCAATTGAACGTAAATATTAGCTTTAAAGTTTAATAGTATTTTTTTTATTTTTTTTATTAAATATATGATGTATATTTTATTATAATCAATTTTCGTATGTTACCATTTTTTTCAATCTACTCCAAAATTGAACATTTTTTTAATTTTAATAGAACATAGTTTTCATAATTTTTAATTTAATAGCTTCTATAAAAAAAAATAAAATTATATACGATGAAAAGATTTTATATATTTCTTGTGACCTCTTAATGACCTCTAACCCTTTTTTAATTTAAATTTTTGATATAAATTTCACATGTTTAAAGAAGGTAAAGTTTTTTCTTGCATTATATGTTTTAATTTTTTTTTACGTAAATATCATCTCATTCATCGGATATTTAGATAAAACCATTAGTATCGAAAGATAATATTATTAAAAAAATATTTATATCCTAATATCAAAATAATTTTTTTTTTGTTTTTTAAATAATTTAAATACTAATGTCTAAAAATAATTTTTAGTTATTTAAAAAGTGGATAATTTTTTGTCTATTAAATATAAAGCCATTAATATCAAAAGATAATATTTATTTTTTAAATAATTTAAACCAAATCACTATTCGTTGTTTTTACATACATGGAAAATTATTAAATATCATTTGTCACTTTTTCTTAGGTGGCAAATGAATATTTTAATTTTAAATGGATACAAGCCTTTTTTTTAATTGGTCGAAACAATATCTTTGCTTATGTGGCGTGCCGAATACTCTCGAAAAAGGCCTACTATCATTTATATACTAGTTTTGTGTCTGGGCGATGGCGTGATGCCCAGATAAGATATAAAATTTTAAAATAACATATTTACTTGAATGTTAAATACGGTCACATAATTCTTTTTGATAATGTAGGATATTTAGATGTACGATGTCATATGGCTTATATTAATATAATAATACTTTTTGTAATCTTGTTTGTAAACAGATATCTATGTTACTATTGACTTGAAATTATTTTTATTAAACTTAAATTATTTTTACTAAACTGAAAGTATTTTTACCAAACTAAAATTAATTTTATTGATTAAAACTTATTTTTACTAATTCTATATTATTTTTTAAAATAAATTAATAACAATGCATTTTGTATACGACTAGCCACACCATCTAGCCGGACAAACTAACCTTTATAAAATTGACCGAGTAACCCCTGTAGCACTGACTGAGTAACCTCGATCACTGACTAAGTAACCCCTATCTATAATACTGATTGAGTAACTACTGTAACACAAACTAAGTAATCCCTATAGCATTAACGAAATAACTCTTGTAATAGTTGGTGACACGGTTTGACGAACTATGTTTAAAAGTTTGTGATTAAATATATTATAAATGGATCTTATTTTACAGAACTTTTTAAAACAAATTTGATGATGGAAATAGAATTGAGTTATAGAATATTTATTAAAAGTTATGATTAATTTTGCATATATGAAATATTAGAATTCTATCGACAATAAAACTCTATACAACAATTTTATCTTTAAAAATCTATCCAAAAATCGCTTACTTAGCACCACATGTATCACAATAATACCTATTTTCCTCCAACGTGGCGCGACACTTGGCGAAAAACTGGAATGCCAAGTGTCACTGTGTCGTGTCCTGGCTGCGAGTCTGACTTTATTTATTAGTGATATGATATTAGATTTCACTATATGGAAAGTTATTAGAAGAATTTTTTTCCCTTCTTATCATTTTTTTTGAAAAAAGATTCATTCATAAATAAAAAGTCATACAACATCTACAATAAATTTTATATCTAACAAATACATGACAATTGAATCAAAAAAATTATTCATTTAGAAAAGCTACGATCGTTGTCGTGAATCCTACATTATTTATACCGTCTTTCACATCGCTGGGATTCACAACATTATTAGACGAGGGGTCTATCGATTTGTTTTAACCGTGAAGAAATTTTTTGCTTGATTTGTCTGGTTGTAATCAAAAGATTAACCTCTTTTTCGATCCCGTAAAAATATTTACCCATGAAAGAACTCTACAACAATCCATTAAACTAAAAAAGCAAATCCTCCCTCAAAAGAAAGAAGAAAAAAAAAATTATTTCATGGGAGAATATTCCTCCTAAAGAAGAAGAAAATCCCTTTCTTTCGAGGGAGAAATGTTCCTCCTATAAGAGGATGAGTTATTATAAACCTAAAACAAACAAAAATATAAAGAGAAGAGGCACCTGAAAAACAAAGATTGAGGATTTTCACCGGTAAAAACCCATGAAAGCCACTTCAAAATTCAACAATGGAGGCTAGGGGTTTTAGAAAGAGAGGAGGGGGGGAGAGAGATGCTTCTTAAAACGAATACGAAGTAATCGATCATCAATTAGAAACAAAATATCCTTCTTGTCATTAATTAGTTATGGGGGTTTATTGGCTATGGGGTGAATAGTTCATCATTTATACAATTTCATGGGAATTAAATTGTTAAATGCATGTGCAATATTTAGGAAATTTTGAGTTTTGCTACCACCAAAAGACCATATTTTGACTTTTACTACCTATCTAAAATTTTACTTTATTTTACTACCTCTAAAAGTTACATATATATTTTTGCTACCATTTAACAGAATATGTTAAAGGTTTCGTTAAATGGACCATTATCTCATTAAATAATTATTTAATTTATTAAAAAAAAGAAAAGCTTAAAAAAGAAATAAATAATACCAGCCACTACTCCCCCTCCCCGTTAGCCACCCTTCCCCTCTCCCCGTGGCGGCTGCCGGCGACCCTATCCCCCGTCGTCGGCGACCCCATTCCCCTCCCTTTCCCCACCCACGTTGCCCTCCTTCCTCCTCAAATATCTCCTTCCTTTCAACCCTTCTTCTCACTCTCTCTCTTTCTCTCCCCTCCTTTTTCTCTCTCTTCCCCTAAATTTCCCCATTACGCCCTCCCCTCCTTCCGCCCTCGCAGGTGACCCCTCCCCGCCGCCAGAATACCCATCATCTTCCCCCCGTTGTTCGCAAGTTTCCGGCTCCTTATTGGACCCAATATGAAACCCTAGCTTTGATTCATTCTTATCAAGATATATAAATGGTATTCTCTTCGTCGCTGAAATCTGAGGACTCGATTGGGAAGTTGTTGCTGATGAGGTTAGTCAGTGGCATTGTAATCCCCCGTATTTTTAAATAATTTATAAATGAAATTCTATTTTATTTATTTGTATATTTTTAGGAATTTATCTACAAGTTTCAAATTATTTTTGGGTGGAAAGTTATTTTATTTATTACAAAAGGATTCTTATGTACCTATATGGCTATATCCTACAATTAATGACCATAAAAACAAAGCCTAATCCATTTTATTTATTCAATTGGCCCATTATGTTAATGAGGATCAATTTTACCCTACTTACCCTACAACTCTCTCCTATAAATATCCCATAAATCCTCAAAATTTTCCCCTCACAAAAGGTTAGCTATTTCTCTTCTCTTTATTTTATTTCTTTTATTTTTCCTTTTTTTTTCTTTTTTTTTCATTTTCTTTTTCTTTCTTTCCCTTTCCTCCTTCCTACGTGAGCAATACTCACTACTACTGCCTAACCTTGCTCTTCGCCCAGACTTGTCGACGCTGCCCCTGACCGCCGGCACAACCACCAGCCGTGGTCCAATCTTCTTCCTCTTCCTTTGTTTTCTTCTATTTTGCTTAATACTTGATTAAATTGTTTTGGGTTTTATTTTATTGTTTGAAATTGATTTATTTAGTATCAAAACTATATTTTGATGATTCAAAACTTATAATTTTATATTATAATCAGATTTTGTAACTTTAAAAACCTAGGGTTTTAATTTATTGAAATTAGG